CTTCAGAGTCTCAACTCAGGAAGACCCCCTACAATGTGGTAATTGCCCTATCTACTGCTTGAACTATTACCTTTAGCCTTTCTTTTGTGGCACTAACACCAGGAGTGGAAAAAGAGTTTTAATTTTGTTTCTAATTATATTTTTCTGGCAAAAGTTCCAAAACTTTTAAGTAAAGTTGATAGCAAGAAAAGAACATTCATCTGTGCAAGTTATCAGTAGAACGCAATATTACGGCCTAGGTTGTTTCTGTTTTCAATCAAAATGTCTACATCTACGTTGTGAACTAGTAAATTAGAGGCATGCATTTAAGGGGTAAATTTCACAAATGGTCATATAACTATGATTTTTTTTCACCAAAAGTTATATAACTTTGTTTTCTCACACAAAAATCATATAACTATGACTTTTTTTCATCAAAGTCATATAACTTTGTTTTCTCACATAAAAATCATAAAACTTTCACTAACTCACACAAAAATCATAGTGGTCGAAAAACAAATTTTTCGGTAGTATTTTCTTATTTTACGTTTTTTATTTTTTATTTTCAATCTAATAAATAATTATCCAATTAAAATAGGAGAAATATGAGTATATTTTTAGTCGTTCTCAAAAATAATAGCCGATAAAATATTTTTTTATATATATGTGTATTATATACATATAATATACACATTCTATATATATTTTGGCTAGCAAATGTAATTAGTTTCGGCCGGCCTATTAATTTATATTTTTTCCTTAAAATAGGAATGACCCAACCCAGCCTGACCCAATACCCATATATGTAAGTTAAAATAATACTAAAAGTGAATTCTCCCCCCATAAGAAACTTAGTTCGGAATGCATGAGATTCTGACAAAAAAATAAGGAAATAAAAGGTATAATTAGAGAGCACTTGAAATAAAACTGCTATCGATTTGAATAAAAATCTTGAAAAGAAAAATAAAAGATAAAAGTATTATGTTTTGAAGGATTTACTATTCACTTTTAGTATTATTTTAATTTTTATACATGAGTATTGGGTCGGGTGGGCCAGATCGGGTTGGCTCATCCCTATTTTAATTGGATTATTATTTATTAGACTGAAAATAAGAAAATAAAAACCACAAAATAAGAAAATACTACTGAAAAATTATATTTTTCAATCACTATGATTTTTGTGTGAGTTAGTAAAAGTTTTATGATTTTTGTGTGAAAAAACATAGTTATATGACTTTGGTGGAAAAAAGTCATAGTTATATGATTTTTGTGTGAAAACAAAGTTAGACGACTTTCGTGAAAAAAAGTCATAGTTATATGACCATTTGTGAAATTTACCATGCATTTAAGTCCTATTGGATAAAGTTACTGTTTTTCTAATGGAAGTAGGCTATGTCTTAGCTCCACATTGGATTGCTAGCTTAACTATTCTTGGGTGAAAGTTTTTGTTTTTAAGATCTCATTCTGACTCCTAAGTGAGTGAATTGCAACACTTATTTTAATCAAAGTGAATGATTCACAACAAATTTTGATAGTCACGAGTGAGATTTGCTTTTGGTGGAATGGTCAATCTTTGAGTGATTGTGTTATGTTGATCCCATGTAAATGGTGAGTCGGCTTGGCTTTTGTACTTCCAACTGTCCATACTTGGCAATATAGCTTCCTCTATGCTGACGCTATTAGTGTTCAGACTCCAGAGCAGTGGCGAAGCCACATGGTTGACCACCCTTCGTCGAAAAATTATACTGTGTATATAGATAAAATATTACGTTTCAAATTAATTAGCCAAACACAAATTGTTTCTCACCAAAAGTACTTTTGAGTAGAAAAAACACTTCTCAAAATAAGCTGATTTTTGCAGCTTGGCAAACAGGCTATATGACTTCCTTATCAAAATATTATCCCATGTTATGACTTGGGTGCTTGTTAGTAGTAACTTGTCTGCACGAATCTAAAGCATTTATGACTTTAGTTTTCAGCTATCACATTTTCTTGTTTTTTGGACTTCCATGTACGGGTGTTCGTCAGTTTGTACGGTACGATGTTTAGACATTTCGGTTCGGTATTTTCAATATTCGGTTTCTTGAAATGCTATACCAATACCATACCTAATTAAATTCGGTATGGTTCAGATTTTCTCCTTTCTGTTTCGGTTTATTCAGTTAGGTAACTTCGGTTTGTTCGGCTTGAATATAAACTAGTGCCCATAAACTGTAATATTCTTAATTAAAGTACTCACAAATACAAAGATCAAAGTGTTGTAAGCTCACCTGATTGCTCACAGAATCTTTATCCAAAATCAGCAAGTATCAACCCATATAGAGAAAAGAAGTATATAAACGAATAAATTTGATAATTGAAAATGTCTTGGTACTTGCTGAACTTAGAGAATACAACAAGGACTAATCCAACATATGCAATAATACACGAGTAAGAATTACCTTAAAACCGTAGAAATATTACACTTAACTGTTTGGCAACCCGAAGAGTAAGAGTCAGAATATGTAGTCTACCTTGTTCCTGCATTTTTGAAAGAAGTACATGGGTTTTATTATCGGTATTTCGGTATTTTTTTTTAAAAACAAATACCAAATTTTATTTAAAAATTTAAACCAAACACCAAAATTTTCGGTTTCGGTATTGTAATTCAGTATGTTGGTATTATCAAAAGAAAGGGAGAGGAAGTCTGTAATGAGGACCGGCATAGCTGGGAGCAATAAATGCAAAGGGAAAGACAATGTTTTTTGTTTCCTCGGAAGCAATAGTCTTTTCGAAGTTCTATAAGAGGTGTTGTACATCTTCAAATTACCTCCTTTTTTTCCTTTCTTAAAAAAGACCTTTTGGAATTTATTATTGATAATGAGGACAATGTGGAGAGGTACAACAACGCCACATTCTCTTAATTTTTCTAACCTAGAACAGTGTTGTCAAAGGCACGCTTAAAGCACGCTTAAGCCCTGAAGTGAGGCTCAAAACATGTTGAGCGCTTCGCCTCGCTTTGTGAGCGCTTCAGTGTCGCATCAAGGCTCTAAGACATACTTTTCCTTGCCAATGAGTGTGATCCTGAAAAGGCGACACTAAACAATTGATATTTCACTTTATCATATTCTTTTTCCAATTTCTTTGTCCGTATATTTATTATTTATGCTTATAATTATTGGTCTTGCACTACATATACCTATTTTTACTTTTTCTCCAGTTGCGCCTTTTTATATAAAAGCCCACGCTTTATTTGCGCTTTGCGCTTAAAGCCCCAATGGACCTTAGACTTTTTTTGCACTTTTCGGCTTTGATAACACTGACCTAGAAACATGTCTATAGGCATATCAAAATTTGTGTTATTATCCAACGAGAGCTGAACTAAGGAGCCCATATTGAACTTCTATGGAAGAACGTAAAATTTTGTTACAACTGTGGTCCACCTCTAACTAACTTAGAGATGTTCTTACTAGTGATTGCCACTTGTTGGACTTGGACCTTGCAATGATCAATGATGTTACTTTGCGCATGTGCATAATCAAGAGTCGTCTGGTGCTTTGTCAAAGGAAAGACGTTATTAAATATATATCACTGTTGTATCAATGAGGAAGTATATGTGTTCTTTTACCTTGTCATACTAGTTCTAATGTCTAAACCCAAAGAAACTAAAAAAATAATCTGTGAATATTTTCTTCACCGCAAGCTGGGGGGGAGATTACTAGAGTGATATATCAGCCAGTGTTTTAAAAGGTGTTTTCGGGGCGAGGCGCACCAAAAATGCCCCGAGGCCATGGTGTGGGGCGAATGTCTCAAGAGGCGTACGTCCAGGCGTTTGAGGCACTTTTTTTAGCGAGGCGTAAGCCCCAAAGACTTTTTCAGATTAAAACAAAATTTGTTGAATAAGTCCTTCATATAATACCCAAATTCTCAAAAGTCAGCTTGGTAATTACTCAAAACTTTTAAAAAGGAACTCAAATGTATTACTCCCTCCGTTTTAATTTATGTGAACCTGTTTGATTGGGCACGAAGTTTAAGAAAAATGAAGATTTTTGAAATTTTTGGTCCTAAACAAATCAAAAAGGGGCCCAGAGTATTTGTGTGGTTATAAAAGCTTCTCATTAAGGGTAGAATTGTAAGTTTAAACTAAATTGTTTCCAAATTTAGAAAGGGATCATTCTTTTTGGAACAGACCAAAAAGGAAATAGGTTCACATAAACTGGAACGGAGGGAGTAAATTTAAAAGTCAAGACCTTTTTTATTGATTGAATCCCTAATTCATGGTCTTTTCCAATTCTTTATCTTGTCCGCTAGTCTGCTAATATCTCCCAAAAGCAATAATTCTTTTTTACAAATACAAAGAGCTCCATTCCCCTTCATAGCAGCAAGTTCAAAGTTCAAATTGCATGTTAGTCATCCTTTTTGTTCCTCCATGTAGAAAACTTTATTCTTTTAGACTCAAGTTATTTGTGCTTGTAAGTAGCGTATAATAGATTGTTTTGACTAATTTCTGTAGAGATGGAGCATACACACACACACACACACACACACACACACACACACACACACACACACACACACACACATATATATATATATATATTTCACATATTTATGCAATTTACCTGTTTATAAATATTTACTGTCATTATATTATTTTATAAAATATTAAAAATTAAATATCTATAGGGCTTACGCCCCGTGCCTCGGGGCTTACGCCTCGCTGAGGCATATGTAAAACGCCTCGCCTTACGCCCACGCCTTTTAAAACATTGATATCAACCTTTAACCACTTTTCCTTAAAGGATGATGCGAAATTCTCAATTCCTTTTATTTGTAAATAATAGAGTTCCAGATCAAGATCACGCATACTTTTCATGACAAATTGCTTTATGAGGAAGGCTGCTGATGCTACATTAGACATAAGTTGCTTATTTCTGGTTTTGACAAAGAGACCTTTTTTTTCCGGCTTATACATAAACCAGCAGATTACCCTAGAAAGTAGAAACTACTGTAGAAGCTGATTATCCACAATAAATAAAATTTTGGGACTCTTTTGTTTATTTTGATACTTGTTATCAGTTGCCTATTTGAGGTCAACTTTTGTGTATTGGGGTAAAATGGTAAGGAAAGGTGATAGCTATAAGAAAAAAGATTAAAAGAAGAAGACCTAATCTTCTCATACACCAGTTTGGCTGAAGTGTTGATGAACTGGTTTTTAATCTGATTCACTAAGAGTAAGCTTGGTGTGATTATTTTCCTTCTGCAATAACTCAAATTTTCAATGGCGCTTGTTACTTGATCAAATTAATGTGCCCAGGTTATCTCATAACTTGAAGAGTATGTAATACTCCAGGTTAAAACATCCATTTCACTTGCTGCTTATTTTTCCAGGTTCCTCTCGCTTCACGATCTTTTGGAGTTACTGGTAGTCCTTCAAGGTTTGCACCTCCGGGTCAGCAAGGACAACCTTCAAATCTTCCCCCAATGTCCTTATCTGGAACAAATTTAGTTGCCTCCTCTCCTTCTCCTGCAGCATCAGGCGGTACTTCAGTGTTTAGGGATCGGTTTTCTAGCCCATGAGATTAGAAGTTATGTTGGTTGTTTTTACATGTCAAGGTGCCCTATTCAAACTGGCTACTTATGAAGCTATAAATCATTCTGGAATTCCAAATAGCTCATTTACTGGAAGGGTAATAATCAAGATGCAGTGTCAAGGTCCGATGCCTTCTAGTTGGAAGAATATAGTATTGCCATTCCTTTGGTCAGCTGTGCGTGTCCATATGATTCTTATGAAGTTGCCCTGATTAAGGTTAGTGTATTCTGTAGCAAGATGAATATTCAGTTCTTAAAGGTGTGATGTGAAGAAATGAATACCGTGTACATATCTAATTATTCCATTTTGCTTTGAGTTAATGGTTAAGTCTTAAATTTCTTTTGCGTTGAGGCGATGTTTTATTTGTCATGGCTGTGCGATTCCCTTCTCAAACAAGGTGACCTCATTCAGATTTCAATGCCTTTTCTCAAAGATCCCTTTTTAGGATTTATGAAATGCTCCTGATGAAGTATGTTACTGGTGTGTGATTCTTCCTGAAATTTGGCAGAACATAGTAAATAAATGTAACAAAGACTGAGAGTAGGATCTGACACCACGTGATCTTGAGAAATGGGAACGGGGTTCTGGTTGGAGTCCGGAACCAAAATAATGTATTTTTGGACTCAAAGGCACAAAAATAAGTGGAAAAAAGTGTTAGTGACCAAAATACATATAACGTCCTTTTAAAGGGTGCTATACTTTAACGCCCGCCTTAATAAACGGCGCTATACCTACATAATAAATCGTCCCTTTTCCTTCCCCATCAAACCAGAACTCCCCCCTATTAAAACTTAACTTAAAAAAATAGGCGGTCCTCCATTAACGACCAAAAAACCTCGAGTGGAGTTTACCCGTCCCACAAAAAGTAAAGATTCTCAGTCCCACATCCTAGCTAAGGCGTTCTCTTGTTGTGAGTTGCTCGTTTCGGCTCTAAATCGCCAAATCTTCAACTTTTCAAAAACCTTAAATCGAGGTATTCCGACTTAGTTTTTGTTGAAACTCGTATAAAAAAAATGCATATTAGTTATTTTTAATGTGTTCTATGTTGTTTTGTGATTGTTTTGCGATTTAACTATTTTGTTATTTTTATCCGGACTATGATATTAGTGTGCTAAAAAATTAGTAAAATTGAGAAATTATTATTAGTTGTTAAAAAAAATATTAATAAGTTACTTTTTACTGTGGTATATGTATTTTCGTGAATGTTTTGTGATTAAATTTATTTGTTGTTTTTATCTGGTTTTGATTATTTATTTGCTTAAAAACTCGCAAAATAGATAAATTGTTACTTTAGTTCCCTCTAGTGGTATCTTGTGGCCTAATGTAGTGCTTTATTTGTAATGTAATGCCCTTTTAGCGTCGTAAAATTTAGTGCCCTTTAGCGCAATATCCTTGTAGTTATTGAAATTAATCATTTAAGTATCTATTATACCCAAAAATATGTCAAAATAACTTATAGTTCAAATACAAACTCTGTCCAATTCTAGTCAACGATCGTAAGAAAATAACATGAGAAACCAACAATATTTTCTACAAACATATAAAATAATAAAACTAACATGTAAAATGATAAACTAACATATTAAAGTTAAATAATGTAATTAATCTTGTTTAATTTACAGTAGACGACATGGAGGTTCCGCCTTTGCATCTCGGACCTGCCAGCCTGGAGCTACTGTTGTTACAGAGCAATCATAGGTCGTCCCACATATGGGAGGGACAATTACTGGCCCAGACGTTCCGCGCCAGGAGAGTAGACGACATGTGAGGCTTTCTCAGGGACCACCCTCTCCATCCCTGTATAGTCAGACGCCTCCAGGATACGGGTTTTTATAGGATTGTGGAGATCGGCCGGCTGCAGCTCGATTGGTCGTTGATCACGGCCTTGATAGAGCGGTGGCGATCGGAGACGCACACATTCCATTTGCCCATTGGCGAGGCCACCATCACGCTGCAGGACGTGGAGGTCATGTATGGGCTGCCCGTTGATGGACACCCTGTTGCTCTACCGTATGCCATGAGAGAGCAGACAAGTTTGCAGTACCTGGACATGCTGCAGCGGCTCACCAGTTTACAGCCACCGGAGGAGACTGCACTGGTTGGGGCCAGTCGTCTGCAGTTGACGACTGTCCGACAATATTTGGAGGTATTGTACCCTGACATCACAGACGATACATCGGAGCTTCATATTCACCGGTACACGAGGTTGCTGCTACTCCTTATGTTTGGAGGGGTTTTGTTCCCGAACACTTCGGGGAACCTAGTCATCTTGAAATTTCTTCATCATCTTGAGCGGCTAGATGATTTACCCCAGTACAGCTGGGGTGCTGTTGTTCTCGGCTACTTGTACAGGCAAATGTGCCGAGCGAGCATGGGCACCCAGCGTGACGTTGCTGGATTTTTGCCGCTGCTACAGGTGAAAACATATTCGAATACTCTATTCATTATAACATACCCAGTAAAAATATACCTTAAATTTTACGTCCACTTTGTATGTTAGGTTTGGGCCAGCGAGCGGTTCTTATAGTTGCAGCCACCTCTACCACCATTAGCTCCGGGTGCACCACCTTCGTTTCTGCCTCTAGCTAGGAGATGGGCTGATAGGCGGGGATATGGACGAGAGTACGAGGCTTGACATAATCTCCCCTTGTGCAGGGATTTGTTGGATTTGCTGGAGGGCGCATAGGTAAATGTATACCTAAGTTTACTTGGCATAGCTTCATATGTGTTGCGTATACTCACGTTTTCTGTTGTTACTTAATAGTTCATTTGGAGGCCATACAACGACGAGCTAATAGCTGGTTTGCCCGATTATTGCTCGGTCGGCCGAATTATGTAGAGCTCTTCCATCCCGTTGATGTGCCTTGATATTGTGGAGCATCATGCCACCGAGCGAGTACTTCGCCAGTTTGGCCGCCCGCAACTTGTATCGCCACCGCCCGCCTGGCATATCACACATTACCGGCGGGATGATCGTTCCAGGGTGGACCAGACATATATGACATGGCTAGAGGCGCAGATCGATACTTAGGACCAGCGACATGACCTGATTCCTCCCCCTCCACCTGACCGGACGGAGACTGAGCATGATTATATGGGCTGGTACCGCAGCGTTACCCGACTTTTCGTCGGGAATCCCATTTATCACGCTGGCGGTCGGTACGTTCCATACGCCGGGAGGCATGAGGCACTGGTATGTTATTTGGTATACTTACTTATAACGTTAACTTAGCGTTCCGTAATTTATATTTTACATGTTGTGCAGGCTATTGGCCTACATCTGTTCCACCAGTTAGGACTGCAGATGTAGCAGCATACCGGCGAGGGAGCAGCCGCTTTGCACGAGTATGGCCGGCAGGTTACCGATCTGGCTTCCCGGACGTTGAGGCGAGCCCGAGATGATGAGCGATTAGGATACGAGACTGAGTATGTGGCGCCAGAGCAGTACCATCGTGGGCCACCAGTGGGGCCGGAATGTGGTCGATGTGGCAGGCGTGCCCCACGGGGTAGGGGTGTCCCACGAGGTCGTGGGGTTCGGCGAAGAGGTGGTCCCCAGCGAGGGGGCGTTGAGGCACCTGTTGAGGATATTGGAGTTGATCAGCCGGGTGACCTCTATGAGCCAGACCACTCTCACAATAGTATGCCGTCATTCAGCCTTCAGCTTCAGCTCATTCCAGGGACTTTGCAGGTGACCCCGTCAACTCCATTGTTGATCACGGGCACGTGCATTATGCGAGAGGATTGAGATCATTATTTTCCTGATCTTCCAGGCCCATTGACCGTTGCTGATGATCGGCCGACACGAGATGTGGATAGTGGGCGCCGACTGAGTTATGGCTCATCATCGAGGGATCCTGGGGATCTTTCACAGGCGCAGGTATGTTTGTATTACTATTACATTTAAATTTGTTTTTATCTCGTTGATTAGCCATAAATATCTTTATATTTTTTTTATTAAGGCTTCATCCTCGCCCGTCACGGAGGCCACTTTGTGCGATACTGACATGGCTGCGACGAATGATTATATTTAGGAGCCCGACGAGACCATGGTAAGACAATTTAAATTTTTGTGACTTAACACGTACATTACAAATATATATTTTCATATACTGAAATATCTTATTATTCTGTAGGTTACTGCTGGACAGATGACCCCTTCTACCGAGCCTGCCAGCCCTACTAACGATCATGCTGCAGCGCATCCTCCGATAAAGAGACGACGTGATGAGGATGATCCTGATAGCGTAGCCGGGCGGGATGGGATGCGCCTCAGGCCAACGACTGCATTAAAGCATACATGATGTGGGACACATTTTTTTTTTTTTTTTGTATTTTATGTACATATGACATTCAGTAAATAATTGCAACAATTTTTATTGTTTACATTATATGCACATTATATTTTTATTTCTCCGGTTTTTCATTATTTTAATACTACAACACAAACAAAAACATAGCAATTTAACATAATTTAAATTCAGTACAACTAATGAAAATACATGACACGGAAAACATAAAGATTAAATACTACACTCAACACATACATGTGTTTGTTTAGTCACTATCGCCTATTATTCTCTGCTCCAACCACTTAAATTTCTCTTCCATTTTATTTTTTTCTTCTTTCGCCTCTTTTAGTTTCTCTTGCAATGCCGCAATTTCTCATTGCATTTCAAAGATCTGGCGTTGGTATTCACTGTTCATATTCCAAACATGATTTATAGTATTTCTGGTTAATGGGTTCATCATACAATTCCTCAAACATACAATGATTTCCGTCATTGCGTTCAAACTATAGACACATCCAGTATTTGCGCCCAACATTACCATCAGACCAACATGCCTTCATAATCGTACGTTTGCCACAATTGCACCTTGGTTGGTCATTGCGTCCAGACATTTGTTAATGCAAGAAAAATAAAAAATGTATGGAAAGTTTTACTATTTGTTATAGTTAAGCGCAAATAATAATTAAAATGCGCTAGTTATTTCACCGCACTATGCTTCGCGTGTTAAAGATTCTTTCGGGTACAATACAACTTTTCCAGAAGATAGCTTTTGCAGGCGAGCAACTTTTCAGGTCGTCAAGACAACACACATAACGTAGTATTTAACCGCGCTATGCTTTGCGTGTTAAAGATTCTTTTGGGTACAATACAACATTTCCAGAAGATAGCTTTTGCAGGCGAGCAGCTTTTCAGGTCGGCAAGACAACACACATAACGTAGTATTTAACAACGCTATGCTTCGCGTGTTAAAGATTCTTTCGGGTACAATACAGCTTTTCTAGAAGATAGCTTTTCCAAGCGAGCAATTTTTTCAGGTCGACAAGACAAATATTTTTTTGAAA